AACTTAATTTGTTGTTTCTCCACAGGAACATCCGTACGCACACCTCTCACCCTTTTACGCCAAGTAAAACCTCAATGCAGCCTGTACAAATGATCCCTTCACAAACAATAATTTTATAACTCCTGCAAAAATATCTCAGTCCCCCAATCATTTTTATTCGGCAAATCATTTATAAGATATGCAGAAAATAAATGTACTTCAAAAAAGATCTACCTTCCTTCACTTGTATTTGGTTTTCTGCTAAAATCAGTGTTTTTGTTTTTTTTTTTTTTTTGCAAAAGCAGTATGTTTAATAAGTATAAATTGACTCTACTTCCATTTTTTAGCAGAAGAATGTATGTTAAGAAATAAAAAAGCAAGCAATTGTTCCTCCTGCTTGCTATTCATTGCTTGAATACTAAAAGTCTCTTTATGAATAAAACGAATTGATGTTCTTGTCAGCAGCAACAATATTTACAGAATGTATGTTACATTAAAGAGGAAATTGAAAGTAAAGATGTGATTTCACTAAAAGAGACATTGAAACATGCAGACAATCTCACCCTTGCAGTCTGTTCACCTTTTGTCAAGATTTGTTTTGCTTAGTATTCATAAACCTTTTGTGTTTGATGTTCACTATTTAAATCAGTTATTATCTGTCAAAGTGGGTATTCACAAACGTGTAATATGAGAAAGAAATAAACAGAAATTACTGTAAAGCATAACAAAAACCTGGGATTTTTCATAAGCTATAGAAAGTCTACACTACTCAACGGAGGATTTTTTTTCGTAGGAAAACAGAAAATGTTCTGAAACTGAAATACAGAACTACAACATCTGATCAGATTCACTGAAGTGTTTCTGTGTAGCTCAGGAACTACTACAGGCTCCATCAGTGCAGCAGCTCAGTGCCAAATGCCGTCACGAAAATTGGCGGAGAGCTGATCATAGTGCAGATTACAAAGGTCACATCAGAATCAGTGAGCACAAGAGGAAACGCCATCTGACTAAATACAGCTCCGTGATTTCAAGCTACTGATGGGGTTTTATTCATCCCAATATTCTGCTTGAAAAAAAAAGTTCATTTTTCTTCAAGTAATTCCTGAAGTTGTGAAAGAAGAAAGATGCACTCAGCACAGTTCTTAGAGCGAGTAGAAAATGGTCATGTTGTAACTCACTTATAAAATCCAGATCATGTCATCCTACTTCCCTACACCGAAACACCATCCACCAAAACATATTAGAAGCACCCAGTTACAATCTAGCTATTTTTGGTGTTGTTTTCTGTTTGTTTGTTTTAAACAAAATCCAAACCTCCTTTCTGAGAAGCCCTTACTTGCACTCTGACCAAAGGAATGGGGCTGACAACTCCGGAGTCAGAGGCCTGCAAGCACTGCACGTGGCCAGCAGGGCCTTCTCCACCAAGGAGCCACCAACCCTCTGCAAGGAAGCAGGGAGTTGGGCTGGGAGATTCTCTGGCAGCCATGAACAGACTGCACAGATGGAGAGAAAAAAAGGAGAAAAAAAAAGCATAGAACAGAGACTTCTAAACGAAGATTTTGAAATGAACTGACTGACTTGCTGATACAGACCACTTAACAGAATGCACATGGTACATGTTAACAAGATACACTCCTGTGTAACCAAATCCCTTCACTCCCCAACACACCTAAGGCACATAACAGAGCGTAGCGAGTAAAATAAATGAATGAGCAAAACCAAAAAGATAACATCAAACAACCAACCAAAACAAAATACAAAAACCAACCCACAACACTAGAGAACGAAGGAAGGTGTGTTTAGTTTTCTTTTTGTTTGCCGTACGATTTCACCAAAAAAGCTATCTGATGAAATGCTGCAGTCTTTTAGAACATTCTAACTGCAGAATGTAGGCAGAGGGGCCATGCATGAATGGAGAGATGATGCCTCAAACAGGTTTTTCTCTTATGATTACATTCAAAGCAGACAATTATGCAAATAAAAAGAAGGAAAATTCCATAGAGGAAAATACTTCTCTCTCATAGGAATGAAAACTGTATTAATCACACGGCTCTGGGGAACTTGGCACGGAGCACTACTAGTGACAAAAGGTATAGAACAAACCAAAAGCATTTCAACTGTCATATACATCCATTAATACTCTTTTCTCCTAAACGCTACATTTCTCATTTCTTTCCTCAATGGTAGAGGAAAATGGCTTATGGGGAAGAAAGGAAGGCAAAGAAAGCAAATTAAATGCAATTCTGACAGGTAGGCAAAAAGCAAGGCGTATTCAAGCCAGGACAGCTTCAGGGATCTGAATGGATTTATATTATCTAATAACGGAAGTACTGTGCCGTGATTTTGGATAGATTTGCTGAAAAGGATATTCCCAGAGCTGAGAGAAAATGCATGGTTCCCTGGAAATAAGGATATTGTAATAAATGGTTCTAATTTGTTCTTATGCCGTGGCTGCAAAATTCTCTATTTAACAGTGAAAACAAGACTCATGACGGGGTTTTCTGTATGTGTTGGTTATTTTATTTTGAGGTTTTGTTTTGTTTGTCTCTCTTTTTTTTTTATAAGAATGCCTCAAAACTTCATGCTCTTCAGCAGGCACTTTCCAGAACTGACACTGGCAGGCTTACACCTCTCTTGGCAAGAGTTGGTAAACTGAACTGATGTCTATGACACTCTCCCTTCTGGCTGCGTAAGCCTAATGGAAGCATGAAAGATATTAAAAAATGCCACTTTTTACAATAAGTCTGCACTGCAAGAGAGTCAAATGGCCCTTGACTAGAAAGATAACTAGAATACCATCAGGAGGTGAAGGTTAAAATTCACTATTATATGGAACTGTTGACACCAATAACTCCATTTTAAAAACCACTCTGTTCTACCAGCACTTTTGACACTACCGTTATGGAATTCTGCCTTCATCTTTGGTTTCTCAAGCAATGCATTCTACTTCAGACTAAAGATAGATGTCTCTATATATTCTCTCATCCTTGGCCCTGCCAATACACCCAGACCTCTGCATCGGAAGAATTCATTCTGCACATCAAATTTGGCCCTTTTTTACATCTGGTCTTCTGCAAGTCACGCTCTCATCACTCTGGTAGCCCATCCCTATTGCTGCATGCATACCAATACTTGCGACTGAACCTATCATCTCCTTCCTAAAAGAGCTCTTCTTCACATTACACTGTAAATCAGGACAGTGTTTCTTGTGTTTATACAGCCATCTCCCTTTCATTTGCAGCTTGCTTCCCCTATACTTAACAGAACTACTTACCCAACAGAAGCAGCAGAATAGCCATTCTCAAAAACTACATAAAATCCCCAGAGACCAGTATTCTACCCAGTGACAATGGAAACACTGTTTGCAGGACTTTCCACACAGCCTGGGAAAAAATGTATGCTGTCCAAGAACAGAGCAACAGAGCTTCTAATTTAGGAACGTGTGTTTCTGTTTTATCAAAGCCAATATCTGCTTTATAAAAATGATTCCCCTCCTACCAAGCTGCTGACCGGTATATTCTGTTTCTTTTCACTAAAACTTGGTATCACACTGTGTTTTCACATAGAGATGAAAATTGGAAAATAGCTATACAGGCTTATTCAGTCATCTTGACAATCCGTCATTTTCCTGTAATATTTTAATCAACTTCCCATACTTCCAACATTAACAACTTCTGACAAACATTTCTTCTCCCATGAAGATAACATCCTCAGAAATGACCTCACACTATGTCTGAGGCTTGGAACATGAATTTGTTTCCTTTTATCACTTTATACTAAAAAGGAAGAAAATGAACCGTTATTAAAAAGGGCTTTCCATCCCTTCTTTTTAATTCTCCTTAGGAATAACAGTTTCTTTTTCTTTTATCTCTTCATTCTGAACTACAGGTGCAGTCTTATATTGCTTGCTGATGCCTTTGAGAATAATATTTTTAGCTCAAACACAGTCTTTAAACCAATGAAAATGAATGAAATCAGTATATGCTGGCAGAATAAATTAAATAAAATAGACAATAAGACAATTCTCACACATTTTTCTCTGTACAAAACCATCCCTATTCCGTGTCTGACATTCAAATAAACAATTTTATCCCACTAAAATAAAAAGTGATACTTTCATTTTTTTCTGTTAATTTTTTTCTCAAATGACAATATTCAAGAAAAAAGCGCAATACTCTATTTTCCCATAGAAAAGGAAAGCAGAGGATTCTCATTTACAGTTTAAAGAACTGTACTATGTTAAAAATATTTTCTAGCACTGCAAACTGAATTTCTTACCCATATACAAAACAAAGTCAACTGTGAAAAAGCAACTCACAGTGCTGCACAGATATGTTTCTGCCTTGACTGTGGTATTTCTACGAGTAGAAGTTTGCACACATTCTGACTAAAACATGAATAAAGACCTCCAAATTTCCGATAAACTGAGTAATCCCCAAGAACCAAAGCTGAGCATACATACACATTTAAAATGAGACACTGACTATTCAATAACTCTGCCATTCGTTGCCATTTGCTTTCACTCTAGATAAAATTGGGCTTCGTGCCAGTTCTTACTGTTAAGCGTTCAGCATCGCCTCCAGCATCCTTGCTTATAGATTCTAAAGTGTGTTATGAAGCTTTCCCAATTGACCCGCAATAAATAAAAAGCAAGTTGACTCAGAATAAAGGTCAAACTGCATTAAAACTCCTTAGACAGATAAATAAATTGCAAAAATGAGCTTTTTGACAACTGCTATTTCTACAGTACCAACAATCCAATCTGTGCGATAGCCATAAATCCAACTGAAATTAGGTTCTTTAGGAACAGTAAGGTTGCACTACTGCCATTAATGGTAGCACACAGCAGACCTAGGTCAAACAGTCCCAAAGCATTCTCTACTGTTGCCTCTCTCTTCTGTCAAATAATCAGAAGGGAAGGGGGGTTGTGTGCCTCTCAAGAACTCAGTTTGTAATTGGGGATGGGGGGAGAAAAAAAAAGTGGGGATTAAGGACCAAAAAAATAAGGAAAGCTTTCAGACCTGCTTTCCTTTGCTCCGTGCTCCTTGCTGCAGAGAACTGGGGGCTCTGTGCTGGGCGCTGCTGCACGGCGTTCATTGCTGCCAAGTAGGTAGCAAAAACAAACCAGGAAATGTATCCCAGCAACAACAAGATCAATGGCAAATGCATGTTCACTTGTAGGTCTCTGAATAAAACTCAGACCTGAAACACACCTCCTTGTGGATGGTAAGTAGTGTTTGTGATAAGATTTTTATTTTTTTATTTTTTTTACTTTTTGATGGTAGTTGTCCTTACAAAGACCCATAAGAAGCATCTACTGTTTAAGATGATGTTAAATATGGAACATGAGTGAGCCCATGTTTTCCTCCTAGGACTTAAAACAAATTAAAAAGAAGTTTTGTCCTATTTTTTGTTTTAATTATAATCATCTGCTCCCCAGCAGGTAGAAGGACACTGCCTGCAGGAGCCTTTCTGTTGGCTAAAAAACTTGTTTTATGTAATAAGTTTTATAATTAGAGAGCTCTTTGCTATTTAAAGGAACTCATTACTGCTATGTTGCGCTGATTGATCCATACTCTCGAAGAAATTTAAAATTTTTAAATGCATTTTGTGAACCACATAGAATAAAATTTTCAATATGAACGCCGAGAAAATGTAACAGTTGTCTTCAAACTCCAGTCCGTAATTCTTTTTTATGCAAGTTTATGCAAGTCTACATGGAACCAAAAATGAAAACATCAAGTCATCCATAACACTCTACTGCTTGTTAGATTTCCAATGCTATCACAATGGAAGGGGTCTGTTTGATCTAGTAAGTACTCATCTCACATTCTGTGATGCTTTCACATGGTCTTGCAATCAGACAAACAAGTTCTACAGAAGTTCAGGAGGAAGGAAAAAAAACAAAAAACAAAAGGTGAGATTCCCCTGGATGACTTCATCTCATGCAGTGCCACTGCTCTTCTCCCTGAGGTTTCCCAGGTTGTTATGTCCACGAAATCCCACTGGTCATATGGAAAGATTCTCTTCTGATATGCAGTGGAAAAGAAAATCATCTTTACTAATTATTAATGATTAGCGCAGACTTGAAACTGCTGCAGAATGAGTTACTACTAACGTTGTACTCTCTGCCAAGTTTTCTCATGCCTCAAACAGAACTGATAAGTGATCCAACAATTTCTAATAATGAAATGTGAGGAGGAGGGAGAATAATGAGAGAGAGATGACAAAAGGGTGGACAACAATTTCTAATAATGAAATGTGAGGAGGAGGGAGAAGAATGAGAGAGAGATGACAAAAGGGTGGACACATGTCAACTGCTCAAAGGAGTTTCCCTTATTCGGGTATACCTCAAGTGAAATTCTGCCTCCAGCGAGGTCAGCATACAACTCAATGAGCTCAGCAGTGTCAGTATTTCAGCCTTGACCTCCATCCTCATGTGCTTCTAATAAGCAGTTTGTCCCTTTTTCTTTGACCAGCTCAGGTGCCATTTAATTTCCAAGCCAGCTGTAGCTCATAAGCTGACCCCATTCTTCTACATGTTGGAAACAAAATTGATTCTTGCACTGCTACAGCAATCCAGTCTGGTATTTACAGGCTCTATTACAGTGCCAGACCATTTTATACAAACTGAAATGACATCACCAGTAACTGAAACTGATTTTTTTTTTTTTTTTTAAACAGAAATCATAACTATGGCTGGTCCCGTTCACTTGGCATTAAAGTACAAAGTAGACCTCAGTGACAGCTGGGTCAGGCCCTAAAATCATGCAGGATGCTTACACAATACTTACAAGGAAATATGTATTTCAGCTTGGACATTTATAAGAATAAAGGCAGGTCACCACACCAGAAGGCATGAGGACTGCTACTCTGCTCATACACTTTTGTGAACATTTGCTGGGAACTTCATGTGGACAAGTGATCTCTTCAATTTATTCAGAGAATACTCACGCTATGCTCCCACAGTCTCCTATCAGCATCAGCACAACGAATGCACTCTTTCTGAGCAATTCCTTCAAGATAATGAATATTTGAAGGTCTGTTTCCCTACTCTGTTCTTTCCTAATTCCATTTTTTGAAGAGGAGAGGATTTTGCTATTTCAGTATTTACTCATTCTTTTCAGTGCATTAAGTATTTTAAGGCTCCTCTTTCCTCCTTCCACACAAATGAGTATTTAACTTACTTTGCTTTAAGAAATTTATTCCCTGTCTCAAGCTGTGGAAACAACTCCTTTTGAGAATTATTTTTACCCTTCTTGGTACCGGTGATTTATTTTTTAATTGCTTCCTTAGGTCAGGATGCTGCCACCAGCGTGCCTACATTTACCATGTGCATTACTTTAACCTTTTTTAAGAAGTTATATGGAAAACTACTTTTTTTTCTGCTGGAAGGGGAAGTCAAGATAGATAGAGAAATCAATTATTAATCAGTATTAACCTGAAATAAAACAAAACCAAACCGACAAGAGGCATCTTAGAGACTCAAGTGTTCTCAAGTGAATTAATTCCTATCAGCTAATATTCTTCCAACAGACTCTCTCCCAGATAAATAAAACCACACGGAGATGGACACCCAAGTCCTCAGAGCTGCTGAGGTCCCTTATCTTCACGATAAGAAAAAAACACACTGGAGTTGTCAGAAAAAGGAAAAAAACATCTCCAATGTGACACAGAAAAGATCTGTATGAAAACAAAGATGATAGCAAGATCTGCCAAATGTTAAACTCCAATTGATCCCAACCTATTGGTCCATTCCTTCAAATTTCACAAGCTATTTACAAAAGTAGGGGACTCTAAGCACGATAGAATAAATACAGATTTCAGTAGGTGCAGTAAATGCACACTTTGTTATTCCCTGCATTTTTATTAACAAATCTGAAGAACACACGTGCAAAAACCCTAGAAAAAAAAACCACTAGTTCTCAATCCTACACATTTATTACACAGATAATAGGAGAGAGCTCATAATCATCCATAAACCGATTTATGGCATCTGCTAAGAAGCAACATACTGAGAAAAAGTCAGCCCAGAATTGCTGTGTAAATGTGATCTGCTGATGTTATACTTACTGTGTTTTATGTCCACAAAAATGAACCGACCAAAACAATCACTGAGAAAATGGCTGATCTCCTAAGCACCCCATGATAACTTTGCACTAGAGGTCTCTTTAAAAAAATTATTATTATTTTAATAACTAGTTCAGGCGTTATTGCAGAGTAATATGACTTTTTTCTTTTCTTTTCCTTTTTCTTAACCAACTTTGCACTGTCAGTTGAAGCTATTTCCTCTTTCATTCAAGGGCTTTATCTCATGGGCTTGACCTTGCAGAAAGAAGTCAATCTTTACCACCACAGCGAATGTCAGAGCTGATTCCACTGTGGCTGACAAAGCACTAACGCAGCCACTAGGAGCTGTAGCTTATGTTGGAGAGGTATTCCATTATTACAGCATAGTCCATTTTGCTGCAAAGACAAACCCTGGAAAAACATGCCAGTGAGGCTTATGTTGCTCTTAAAGTGGCTTATGTTGTTCTTATAAAAGCTTCTCTGCTCACAGTGCCCCCAGAGTGTAACTCTGGAAACATAAAGCAGCATTTAATCATCACCATTTTTTTCCTGTATCCATATCCACCAACCTTGCGCATAGTTCCTGCATCTGGCATAACATTGCCTGAAATTAACCTCGACAGAATACAAGGCAGCTTCCTGTTCCAAAGTACTATTTACTTTTAATTTAGACAAAGAATTAATTACTGCTAATCCTGCTACACCACGTTCATGCTCTATTTTCATTCCATTCTTGAAACAAACAAGGCTGGTGTTACTTTTTGGAAATTTTAGATGGAAGACATGAAGGCACCCCTCATAAGCTAACGATGGCAGAGGGACATATCAATTTGAGATTAGTGGAACTGATAGTTTTAACCCTACACTGCTTTCATCCTTGACTGTAAAACGTCTGCCACCATTCTGCCTGCTCTTATGGCACCTCTTTACACTCTTTCATAAAGAAAGCAAACAAGGCTCCATCACTAAATTCATCAACAGAACAGGTAGGCACAGGAGATTATTTCCAGTTGAAGTATCAGTTATCCATACCAGACATACTGTGGTAACTGAAGTCAGTGTTCTCTAAGAGATTACCTGTATCAGGAAGCAAAAGGAACTGGACATTGTGGCTACCTAGTTTTGCAGGTGTGAGTAGCTGGAAGAATAAGCAATAGCGTGCAACAGTCCTTTAAAATTCTCAGCGAGGGTGCATGCCAATCAAGCCCTAATTATTACCCAGCCCAAAAGTTAATGGCCACTTCTCCAACAGTAAGTCAAGTTGCTATTACAATTAAAACTGACTTAGCTTTGGGAAAGCTCCATCAGGCAAAGTCAGCTAAGAGTACCAAGACACTAAAATTAAATACAGGAAATATCTGCAGCTGTTGTGGGAAGTAAAATGAAGACATGTAATATGAAGGCTCCCCAGGAGACCATGTTAACTTTAAAGACATCAAGGATCCCACATCTCAGACATTCGAAGCAAGAAAATTAACAGGCAAGAACCTTGTCATTTTTAGGAAACCCTTAAAGAAGTGCTGGGTGTAAAACACTGTTTCTTAAAGAACTGAAGGTCAGATTAATTTGGGAAGAAACAAAGTGTTTATAGCGAGGGATAGGATAAAAGTGCAATGCTCATTAATTTTTAAATACAGGAAACTGTCCCACAGAAATATGCATGTAATTAAGTAAATGAGAAACAGAAAAAGCATAGCATACTTCCCAGCTGTGATACAGTAGCTCCTGAAGTTACACAAACAGAGATGAGGGAAACGCAGATCTCCCCTCAGAAAGCATGCCTTCAAAACATCGCCATGATAGAACGTGTCCTAAAGGGAGAGACATGAAAGAGGCCCACTCTAACAGACACAAAACCTGCAAGTCTCAAGGTGATATGTGAGTGGATATGCACCTGGATAAGGACCTCCTATGTCACTGAATCTGCAAATATTTTTCTCACTTTGCCTAACTCAACTTTCAAAACAGTTCAGTTCTTGAATCCTTCTTTTTACCTCTAAAACCACATTAATCTCCAG